TTATAAATTAATTTTAGAATCAACATTGGGCAAGAATGGAAATATAACAAGTCTAACTTAAATAAATTTAATTTTAGTGCACAAACCAAAATTAATTCAAGAACCTCTCTTTAGGTTCATCTTGATGCTACAAAAAATGAAGGGCTATACTCACAATTAATTTAACCAAACATAAATTAATAATGAGATTTGACAAAATTAAAGAGGTTGGAAAAATAAACCCATTCATCTAATGAAAAATTTCCAACACTAACTTGCGTATCATTGAAAAATTACATATTCCAATATGAAGATTAATTAAATTTCAATCACAAGTTTTGAACTTTTAGGACTTTAATGAACTTAAAAATGATTAAATCAAAAATTAGTTTAACATGGAATCTAGAAATCAATGTTCCAACAAAATAAACAATTAAATATTGGATCTTTACATATTAGGGACTTCAAAATTACACATTCACTATAAACATTCACACTTGAAGCAATTAATTTGCAAAATTGTGAAATTTCAAGTTTATGTGAAAAATGAGCTTACCAAATCAAGCACCAATTATGACTTCATAAACATGTTTTATAAGGTTTATTATTGCAGTAGATTAGTGATGCGACCATACATTTAATCTACAGTTAACATGCCATAAATAATCAAGGTTTAAAGATTTAAAATTTTTCGTCAAAACGAAAAACCCCTCGAAAAACATGTTTTTGGGTGGATTTTTGCTTCTGGACAGTGCTTAAAAAGGGTCAAAAACAATTTAGAACATCGATTCCACCCAAAATTCACTATTTTTGGGTCGAAATCTTGGTTCGTTGGCCAAATTAGTAAAATACGATATTAAGACTAATTAAAACGAGTTTCTAATCTAATTAGAAAACAAAACCAGAAATTTAAATCCATTTTAAATCACCTCAATTATTTATTAGTTACAATAAATAAAGTGAGCGCGGCTCCGATACCGCTGTTGGGTTTTGTAGTGTCCAACACTACGTGGAATGAAACCCGCCCAAGACCCGCACACTAATTAATGTAACTAAACATTCAATCACATAATTAAACAACAAAAGAAAGAGAAAGAGAAAAGACATTCTTACCCTTGACGCGTGCTTCGCTCGCTTATGAGCTCTTACTTAAAAGCTCTAGCCACGCAAGTGCGTAGGCCTCCGACGGCTCGCACCCTTGACCTGACCCGAACAGTCTCTACCCCAAAGGTTAGTTTGGGCTAGACCAAGAAAATACTAGAGTATTACAAACTTAAAGGTTTTTCTCACTTTCAACGAGATGTCTTATTGAGTTCAACTCAAGTGATTTTTCCCAAACCCAAAACTTGGGTATTTATAGGGAAGGGAGCCTTGATCTCCCTCTTTCCATCAATGTGGAGAATTCCATTTTTTCTCAATTTATTTTTAATCAAAAACAAATTAAATTGCAAATGAATCAACAAGCTCCAAGTGGCATATGGAGAGCATGGTTAGGTGAGGACCACCTAAGGGGGGACCAAAATCCCCTTGTTCCCTAAGCAAGGCCATAAGACCATTCCCACTTTTGACCTAGCTAACCACGCACACATGGCTGGCTGGCAGCCTGCCTTGGCTGCCAAGGCTGCCCAGCTGGCGCCTAGCACCAAGGCTGGGCTGCCTAGCCAGCTCGCACACGCATGCGTGCAGCAAACATGCCACGCACGCAATGCGGGCTGCTGTTGCGATGTGTGTTGCGATGCTTGTGCTAGCGAGGCCCAGCAAGCACTTGCGTGCTGCTGGCCTTGTGATGTTGAGGCTGGTGCTGCTATGCTAGCAACCACGTACAGCCACACACACGCACACATAGCTTACGATGTTGCGTGCTGTGCTGTGCGATGTCGAGCATGATGCGATGGCTAGTGATGCTTGGCTAGAAAGCACGCACAACCATGCACGCATAGCCACAACACACACACACATGGCATGCAGCTTACGATGCTCGTGTTGTGAGATGTGCGAGTGCCAGACAATGCTTGGCACGCTAGCACGCATGCGGTTTGGGACCTCCCCTAGCCTAGCACTCGCATGGCTAGGCCAATGCGATGCTACAGCTTGGCTCGTACTTGTCGCTTGCTTGATTCTACATCTCGTCGAATTCCGAATTCGACTGGACTTATGATGCTCTAATTCGACGCTCTAAGCTCAATATCCGACGTCTTTGTTCATAATACTCTAATGACTCATCTAATCCTTCGGATTGATTCGTCGTCTCGAATCGGTTATTCGATTGGGGTGCGACCCGAAGGGTTCAGTCAAGATTAAGTCGTTATATTAATTACACATTAATATTACTGATCGGAAGCGGCCTCCACCTAGGCATTCCGATCACTTGACCTCACCGAAGAATTAGCTTTCTAATAATTCTGAACCCTCTGTCGGAATAATACACTTGTTGGAAGGACACCATTCCTTTCAGAGTTAAATGGATTAAGTCTTGTATTCTCCCATTGTGGTCGCCAAAAAACTTTTTTATGTAAATATTGCACTTTACCAACAAGTTAAATACTCTATCTTGTTCTAGAGTATTAGGGGCTACCCCACGAGTTACCGGTTTCAAAGATTGACAACCTTGCTAACGTAAAAAAATCAAATAAGGAAGCTTTCCTAAAAGCATTAAAACAAGTTAGATTGCTCAAAGAAACGAGTAGATAAACATATGACAAAATATACAAATACATTCCATTAATGAAAGGATAGAGTCAGGTATACAATTGTACAAGTTGAAGGAGAGGTTACCTCCATGGTCATACAATTGGAAAAGGCGAAGGATCTTCAATACATGCTAGATGATAAACTACTCTATCGCTTGGCTACTAAGCCAAGGGAAAACTACGAAAGCTAAGAAGAAAGCATAAAAGAAATGAAATGCTTGTTATTCAGTTATTTGTTGATGTCTTCTTTTGATCTTCGTACTCCTATTTATAGGCAAAATGGAGCGGTTATGGCTGACTCCCATAATTGTTGTGCGGTTATGCTTCTTGCGCCAACTCTATTTTGAAAATTAAAAGTCATCTATTAGCCTTCCAATATGATCTTAATGCAGTTGAGCCCTAATGCAATATCAGCCCAATGGCTATTATGTTTTAAGTCCAACTAACAAAAGACCCTTTACTAACTCTAGGACTTTCCCACTTATTCAAAGTCAAGATAGTCAATTAAAAGTCTAAAATCTGATTTTCGGGTTTAACAACATTTATCATTTTCCTTATATAAGTAATGAACATCTACATTTCAAGGTATATTAGAAATAAATTAGCATGAGTATACATGTGTGGTCAGCCCGTTTCTATATTAGGAGCGCAATTTTAATGGGACAACAATAAAAATTCTAAGGTGATACAAAAGTTTTTGATCATCATAGAATATTTTATGTGGCACTCTCTTAGCCACAATAAAAAGTGGTCCCCCTTAATTGTTTTTTTTTTTTTTTTTTTTTTTTTTTTTTTTTTTTTTTTTACCAAAACTCATTTAATTGATTCTCTAAATTGTTTAAAATATTTTTAAAATTAATATTCAATATTTATGAAAATTGGAAAATAATAAAAATTATTTTAGAAAGAAAAAAAAATAAAAATAAAAAAATTCCCAGCCAACCTCTCCACCAACCCTTCACCTTGCCACGAACACCGACTAGCCCCCTAACTTGTTGTGAATGCCGACCCAGCCTTCTTACCCTTCGAAAACACAACCCCTAACCCGCCAATGACCCACAATGTTCCACTTCTGGAACCACAAGCCAAGTTCTTAACTGAAACTTGATTCATTAAGTTCGAGGTCTTTTTTTAACAAATTTTTTTGGGGTAAGGTGTTCTTAATTCCCTCCACCACTGATTAGTATTTATAGTGTAAAAGGAGACATTTGGGTCCTTTCTTGGTTTCCTCTTCTTGTTTATTTTGGTTTATAATAATTAATGATGCTTCCTTTATGATAGGAAATTTTCTCCCTCGAAAAAAGGGTTTCCAATCTCTTTCGAAAGACAATGGTTTTTCGGCCACCTTCAAAAGGCAAGTTTTATCTTCTCTTTTCGAGGGAGAAATTTCTTAGTTTTAAATCTATGATAGTAGATTTAATAAGTTGTCGTGTAATGTTTCATTGGTAAAAAATTATGCGAGATCGCAAAGGTTATTAAGTTTTCAAATACAATTAGACGAATCAAAAGGAAAACATCCTCATGTAAATTTTTTCTCCAACAAGGCTGTATTTACCAGCGAGATAAGCGAAGAGATGTTCAACGGTGCAAGATCTACTCAACAATTGTAGTTTTTATGAAGGATTGATTTGTTTGATTCAACATCTTATGTATTTGTTAAAATCGAATTGCTTTTGTAAATATCGTATTACTTTTTGTTACTGAATTATTTTACTATCTAAAAAAAGACATTTGAGTTTTTTTCACATAAAACATTATAATATTTGTGAAACTTTGTTAAATTGTAAACGTGGCAATGTTTATGGACTGAGGAACAGAGGAAATATGAGTATATGTCATGAACATTGTATGGTACAATTATCAAGTAATTGTGCAATGTAGGCAAAATAGCAAGTCCTTTTATAACGCCAAAATGTTTAAGCCTTCATGCCCTTGATAGGGGATTATAATTCAACCCACAAGGCCAGTTTGGTACAAAATTATAAACAATGGTGACAATAAGTGATTTATCACTTTACATGTAATATTTAATGTGATTATTAGTATTAATTAATACTCGTATCAATAAACAATTGCGTGTTGGCTCATTAGCGTTTTAAGATATCATATTTGTGTGTTTTGAGCTTCTTTTTTCAATACCTTGAAATACGACACTCATTATATTATTATTTATTACTCATGAGCCCTAAATATAAACACAAACATATTTTTTTGAGATCTAAACAATTATTGAGCAGTTTCAACCTTGGAGTTCGAATACACAGATTACGAAGGTCATTGTGTAAACCTTGGGGGTCATTCACCACCAGAAATCAATACTGAGGGTGGTGTATTTCGCTTTTAAGACAATGAGTCCTAAACCACGGCACAATCCAAGGAATTTTGTGATAATCATTCCAAGAAAGTACTAAATTGTCTAAATGTTTTTCTTGATTTCAACAGTTTTAGGTTTTTTTTTTTTTTTTTTTTTTTTTTTTTTCGACAGCGAGCCACCCCACCAATACAAGTGTAGAAATAGCCAATGCTAACAATCGGTCAAAACATCCAAGTTATAAATCCAACACCCACATCCAACAACCAATTGCCAACACAAAAAACCAAAGTCTAACAAAACTACATATGTTCTCAATAATACATTTAATTTCAAACAAAAAGAGTACACAACCTAAGAGTACATTTATTATCTTTACTTTATAACTTTATAAGCAATGAACATTAATATTTCGAGGTACATTAGAAATTAATTAGCATGAGTACACACGAGACTATATGAATCCGTGGTGCTTTCAAAAAAAATAAAAAAATGAATCCGTGGTCAACCCGTTTCTATACTTAGGAGCACAATTTTAGTGGGACAACCAATAAAAAATAATAAAAATAAAGAAATAAATAAAGAAATAAATAAAAAACCGAAACAAAGTGGAGGTATCTCTATTTTTATCTGTCCCATCAAACCAGCTACTACTCCCACTCTCTCTCTCTACTCAACCCCAAATTTTGCATTCTTCTCTGTTTGTTTACTGAATTCTCTCCACTCCACTTTCTCGCTACATTTAACTTCCTATGAATCTCCGTCCTCTTTGTTACCACATTTTGATCCTCCATTAAACATGCAAAATTACAAAAACTCAAACAAAAAGTGTAAGTTATAAAGTTTTAGTAAACAATGAGTTCATTTCTAAACAATGAACTTTCCAAAAAAACATCAATTTTCGGATTAAGATTATGGGTTGTGTTAGGCATTTGTGTTGGAGCTGGAATTGTCCTCTTTCTCTTCTTTGTATCTCTTTGGTTCATCTCAAGGCGCAACAATAATAAAGTAAAAAACGCCCAAATTAATAATGTAATCAGCAGTAGAAGCAACAGCAACAGTAAAAATATCAATTACATGTTGGGTTTAACACAAACTCAAAAACCCACAATTCCAAGTATTTCCAAAGAGATAACCGAAATTCGTGTCGAAAACCCGGCACGAGCCGCATTGCCAGACCCTGCGCCGGAGTATGGTGGGTCGAACTCGAACCAAAGGTTGGTGGTGCGTTCACAGATTGAGGAGGATCCAATTGGGCATCAAAGAATTCACATTGAAATTGGGAAGGATCACAGGATATCGTACCCGGACCGAGGTGGCGGGTCATCGGTGTATGGGAGTGGGGAGCAAAACGGGTTATCGGGTCCGGAGGTTTCGCACTTGGGTTGGGGTCATTGGTATACATTGAGAGAGTTGGAGGAGTCTACTAATGGTTTTGCTGATGAGAATGTGATTGGTGAAGGTGGTTATGGTATTGTTTATCATGGTATTTTGGATGATAATACTCATGTGGCTGTCAAAAATTTGCTAAATAACAGGTTTAACTTCTATCTTTTTTATTTGTTTAAGAAATAAATATTTTTTTGTATTTTTTTGGCGTTATATGATGTCTTTGTTTATGTATATGGAGTAGGAGATTCATATGGTTAGCATAGTACGATCTAAGGGAATAAATATTGGGTAACAACATCTCACATTATTTAGTTTAAGCTCTCATAAATAAATTATTATGAGATAGTGTTGCAGTAATTGGTTAGTTTGATTGTACATGATGTATGCCAATTAATTTAGTTGGTTAAACTCTTGAATATGGTACCTTATATTGAGATTGAATCTTGTCTCCATTATTCATAAGTTGCGACTATTTTACAAGGAATTTTGAGTTGTTGGTCAATTTAATTAGTTAGTCACATGTTCGAATTCTCTTAATACCCCACAAAATTTATGGTAGTCGCGTCTGGCACCTTGTTTAACTTAAGAATTGGAGACAGAGAAAAATGTTATATCATCAACTGATACGTTTATATTGCTGTTAATTTGTCTTCACTTTGTTTGTGGTCATGGTTTACTATTGAGAAACGGCCTCCTTGTTCATTACATACAAATAGCTTGTGGGATTCGACACATGCTGTTATGTTATGTTGTTGCGTTGCAATATCAGGTAAACAATATCATGTGCGGCAGCAGAGTTGGGATCTTGTTACTTTCTTGTGGGTCTTCTTAGAATCTACTTCACTGTAAAGCATAGGTTTAATGTCAGTCCCTACATTTTGGTTTGGTGCATATTTAACATATGTACGAAGTATATATATTGCAAAGATTAACTTTCAAATATGAATAGGTGTAGAATAAATATTGTAGATGATTTCTGTAGTTACTCTAAAATGATTCAAATTTACCCTGTATAAAAAAAAAAAAAAAAAAAATTACCTACTTGTATTGCTGATAAATAAAATTACGCTCTTTACATGAAATTTATTCCGTAACAATCAACTTTTAATGTAAAAAATAAAATAAAATTACAGAGTAATAAACATAAAGACTACCCCAAAGTAGCTTAAAAGTTAACTAAACTAGCTAAAAGCTATTCTAAACTAGACATTCTACAGTAAAATTAATGCACACCCGGTGCACCCAAATTAGCGGTAATTTTGTTTCCTTATTTGGTTTGGGTCTTGTTTTTTAATTATGTAGTAATTTATCAAACATAAGCAGACTTGGTTAATATTTTTATTTCACACTCCTTAACACTGCACAAGATTCCACCCGATAATGCATTTAGATCATTATAAAATAAGTTAACATGAGTATGTTGTACACCCTTTATTTCCGTATAGATTTGTAGTTACTCTGGATAATAATTTGTCAACTAAAAGTTTAGAGTTGGTATAATGCAGGTTAAAGCACGTATCTACTTTTTCCTACTATTTTTTATTTATTATTATTAATATACATTACTCCAATTTTTTTTTAATCTTGACATTCTTTCCCATTGGCGTTTATTTCAGAGGTCAAGCAGAGAGGGAATTCAAAGTTGAGGTGGAGGCAATTGGACGTGTTCGTCACAAGAATTTAGTCAGATTGCTGGGTTATTGTGCTGAAGGAGCTCATAGGTACATATATTACGGTTACGTATTGTGTGTTATAAGTCTTCAGATCAGATTTTGATTAACCTAATGCATATTGTAGTCGAGCCTCTTTGCTTCAATTGCTGATGCACTGATTTCATTTATTTAAAATTTAGTTTATTCAAGAATTGTGATGATTAATGTAATATTTTTTGTGGCTGTTTTTCATACAGGATTCTCGTATACGAGTATGTAGACAATGGAAACTTGGAGCAATGGCTTCATGGAGATGTGGGACCTTTCAGTCCTCTTACATGGGAAGCTCGCATGAATGTTCTTATTGGGACAGCAAAAGGGTAAGTATCTAAGTATGCTGTCAATATTGCTCAGAAAGCTGATCCTTTGTCTCCTGATTTTGATCAGAAACTAATGAATGACTGTAGATTGACTTACTTACATGAGGGCCTTGAGCCTAAAGTTGTTCACCGTGACATTAAGTCAAGTAACATATTGCTTGATAAACAATGGAACCCGAAAGTGTCTGATTTTGGCCTAGCAAAGCTCCTGGGATCGGAACGGAATTATGTGACAACACGTGTGATGGGGACTTTCGGGTTAGTTCTTATATAAGGAAGTGTGAATTAAACTTGTTGGTCAGTTCAGGCATCCATGATAATTCATTAAAAATCAGGAGTAACCAAATTTCAACATCTTTTGTAGCTATGTTGCTCCAGAATATGCCAGTACGGGTATGTTGAATGAAAGAAGTGATGTGTATAGCTTTGGCATTCTTCTAATGGAGATAATTTCTGGGAGAAACCCTGTGGATTACAGCCGACCGCCGGGAGAGGTTAACAATATATATTTTTTTTAAACATGCTATAGCTGATTGCATTGGCAGTGATTTTAGGATTCCTCAAGATGTCCTCATTATTTTCTTCAGATATTTCTGAAATTGATTATTTTCATAACCCTGCATATGTGTAGATTTTCTCTGCTGGTTCAGAGCAACTATGCTTAATTGTTTATTAATCACTTTTTTTTTAGCTGAACTTATAGGTGAACCTAGTTGATTGGCTCAAGCAGATGGTTTCAAACCGAAATGCAGAGGGTGTGTTGGATCCAAAATTACCTGAGAAGCCTTCTTCAAGAGCATTGAAGCGTGTCCTGCTGGTATCTTTACGTTGTGTAGATCCAAACGCTCAAAAGCGTCCAAAGATGGGTCATATAGTGCACATGCTGGAAGCTGAAGAGCTTCCTTTCCGTGAAGTGAGTTTGCAGTCCCTTACCTTGTCATATTGTTAGTAGAGTTATCCCTGAATCTGACACGTACCAAACTAATGGGTAGAACTAGTGACACCAAGCTGAACGAAACCATACTTGATATTAACCGACAACCTATTTGATCTGATACTATGATCCAAACCCAAACTTGCACCCAATCTAATATTAATCGACAACCAATTTTACCTGATCCAACGACATTCTAAACCTGAATTGGGTCCTGACCCGATTATAATCTAAAAACTGATTATGACTCTACACATCTATTGACCCATGCTTACTCGTAATTCGTAACCCAAATTTATCCTCTGACCCTTTATTAACCTGACTTGAACCAACAAGACCTATTTTAAGTTTTAACACAACCCAGAACAAGTGAAACAAGTTCAACTAAAATTTACCTTAACCTTTTGTGTGTGCGTGCGTGTGTGTGTGAATAGTAACTATTAAGTTTAATTTGGTTAATTGCTTTGATAATGCATGTTTCGTATTAGAAAAAAACAAGTACATATTAATACCTTTAATTTAAATCTTGAAACTCTTGTTCGAAATTATGTAGGTTTAAGAGCATCTTAATAATACTTGGCTGACATATGGATTGCATAATTATATAGGTTTAACTTGATCTCACCGTACTTGATTCTGATCATACTGATCCTACCTGAACTTAGACGTGATATTGATCCTACCCAGATTTGACCCGAACCCAAGAAAAATCCGACTTGAAGTTATTTGACCTGATAATAGTTTGAGTGTCTGACCCAAATTAAACTCTAACATAAGAATAAATGAATTGACTTGACCCGAAGCTGAAGCTGACCTAGAGGATGGATTGAGCTGAATCAGACCCTACCTGAATTCTTGAATTGATAGCTACAGGCCTATAGTTAGAATGTTTCCTTAATTATCATACAAAATTCTGCTCTCAGATTTTTATCATATTGTTTAGTGCATACAAGACAGGGACTTTATCTTGTTAAGCTAACATAATAGTTATGATCTAGTTGTATAATCTTCATGTATTTGATACAGGACCGTAGAACTTCAAGAGAGCATGGAATATCCAGTAACAGTACTGCAAGAGGTAGGATGATGGATAACCGAGTAATTGAATCAGGAGACAGTAGCGGATATGAAAGTGGTGTGTCAATTCCTAGATTGCCATGGAGAAAGGAAGAAACCGTAGAAGAGCATTGAATTTGTGTGGTTTGTATAGCGAGTGATTAGATGTTTGGTTTCCAGTTATGCAGCAGCTCCACACTAATTTTCACCTCATGTACATGTGTTGGAGAATTTAGAGTATTTAGTTGATTATTATTCATGTTATGTTAAGTTTAAGTCATTTGGTTAAGGTGTCTAGTAGTATACAACTAATCAAGAGAAAGGAAGAAAGTGGCTGATTCATCACTATTGTTGCAACCGTTACTACTTACGGTTTCGGTTTAATTTCTCTTGATTTAGTTGGGTAGTTACATACTTAATGCATTATAACTTTAGTGTATTAATGCATTGTTTAATGCATCTCTTAACATTTGATGATTTGATGCATTATTTAGTAAATGCGTTGTTTTCAGTTTCGATACTTAATACATTGTTTACATACTAGCTACTATCTTATATATATATGAGAAACTCCTCGTATGATGAATGTAGGTTGAGAGATGAAATATAATTTTTATCTTATCATTTTGTCATAGGAAGTTATTATCAGTTGTTCATTTTCACAAAATTACAAACACTTTTATACATTGAATTGGAATAATCTTATAAGTTATTGTAATTGTTCTTCGTTGTATATCCTAAGTAATTTCCGTGATACCCGGTTGTAGTATAGAGTCGGAATTATATTTTTGGGAAAGTGATCCTTTTCACGCCTCGAAGATTTTTCCAATAATTTCATTTCCATTTCTTTGTGACCCTTGTTTACTAGAAAATCTCCAATAGTCCAAAAGTATAATCCACTACAAAGATGGCAAATGTGAAGGAAATGATGACGAATTATTGGACAAGTTTGGGGTGTAGATTTTTGATGGTGGCAAAAGAAGATGCATTTCTGTTGACATCACTCAGTGTGGCTTATGTTCTTACATCCTCGAAGCCATCAGTGGAGGAAAACGAGACATTGGAGGCTACTAGAATGAGGAACAAGTGGGAGACTGACAACTACATATGTTGTGGTCACATCCTAAACGGTATGTCTAATGAATTGTTTGATGTTTATCAATTTCATGAGTCCGCTAAATTGCTTTGGGATGAACTAGAGTCTAAGTACATGGCCGAGGATGCATCTAGCAAGAAATTTTTTGTTAGTAAGTTCAATAATTTCAAAATGATTGATAGTAGGCCGGTTATGGAACAATTTCATGAAATCCAAAGAATTTTAGGGAGTTTTAGGCAACACAATATCAATGTTGATGAGACCCTTATTGTTTTTTTCATAATTGATAAGCTACCATCCTCATGGAAAGATTTTCGAAATGCTTTAAAGCATAAGAAAGATGACATTAATCTTAAGGGCTTGGCCTCTCATATTCGGATTGAGGAAGAAATCCAGGTCCAAGAGAGACAAAAGGATGTTAATCCTAGTTCCACTACAGTGAATGTGATTGAGGATACTACGTCTTATGAGAAAAAGATAGGAAATGATTCAAACAAAAACAAAGGCAAAAAGCCTAAAGTGGGAAGTGATGGTAAAAAAATCACGAGCCTGTTGGGTTTGTGGAAAACCTGGTCATTTTAAAAAGGATTGTACCATTTGGAAGAAAAATATTAGCAACAAGAAGGCTTAAGGTGGGAAAGGCGGGTCAAGCCAATCCCAAGGCAAGCAAGGGTGATACTTCTTGGTACATCGATTCAGGAGCATCGAGGCATGTTTGTAAGGATCGTTCATTGTTTAAATCCTTCGTTGAGGTGACCAATGGAGAGATTCTTTATATGGGGAACGATTCCACCGCAAAAGTATTAGGCAAGGGATAAGTAGAGTTAATGTTTAGCTCGGGCAAATCTCTTATTTTAAGGGATGTGTTGTATGCTCCCGAACTTAGAAGGAATCTTGTTTCCGGTGCTATCTTGAGTCAGATAAATTTATATTGTCTAAAGGTGGTTTATCTGTAGGACTTGGTTACTTATGTGATGGAATGTTTAAGCTTAGTATTTCTAATACTTTGAAAGACAATTTATATGTTGTTAATGATTGCTCTTCTCTATGGCATGTAAGACTTGGACATGTTAATTATAAATAGTTATATTTTTGTCAAAGCATGATTTAATTCCGTCTTTTGATCCAAGGATAAAGAAGTGTAGGACATGCATGTTAACAAAAATCACAAGGAAACCATTTCCTAATGTTGTAGAAAAGAATAATGCATTACTTGATTTAGTGCATAGTGATCTATGTGATTTTCATAACACACCTTTCTTAGGCAACAAAAAGTATTTAGCAACTTTCATTGATGATTATTCAAGATTTTTCTAAGTTTATTTATTGCATTCTAAGGATGAGGCCCTTGACAAATTTAAAATCTATAAGAATGAAGTAGAATTGCAAACAAACAGTAAAATCAAAAGATTAAGAACCGATAAAGGAGGTGAATACTATAATCCAAGTTATAACAATCAATAGGAATAGTACATGAAATTACAGCAGCATATTCACTATAACTAAATGGTGTAGCGGAAAGGAAGAATAGGACTCTAGAAGAAATGGTTAATTCCATGTTATCCTATTTGGGATTGAGTGATGGTTTTTGGGGGGAAGCGGTATTAACCGCTTGTTATATTTTAAATCGAGTTCCAATGAAAAGGAATGAGGTTACTTCATATGAGCTATGGTATATAAGGAAACCAAACTTGAGCCATCTCAAAGTTTGGGGTTGTAGGGCAATTGTAAAAGTGCCAGAACCTAAACGTAAAAAGTTAGGTGAAAGAAGAGTGGAATGCATTTTTATAGGATATGCGAAACATAACAAATCCTATAGGTTCTATGTAATACCCCGTATTTTTGAAACATATCTTCTAGTTAATTAATTAATTAATTAATTATTATTTTCTAAAAGGGTATTTTAGTAATTTTTTTTACTATTTGAATTTTGGAGCCGAAATGATATTTGAATTTTGGCGCCAAAAATATTTAAGAACTTAATTATTATTTGTGGATTTTGAATAAGATTTATTATCCATTTATTTTATTTTAAAAACCGGATTATTTATATATATTTCGGATATTTTTATTAAGCAAAAAAATTATATTTTATTATTTAAATAAGGAGGTCCGAAAATTCCAATTAGTTGGATATTAATTTTGGATTTTTCTAGTGTGGAAAATATGATTTTCTTAGTTAATTTATTTAGTGAATAATTGGTATTCTCTTAATTAATTATTTTATACAATATATACTATTTACACAATTATTTTTTATCCTTAAATCTAGCAAATAATTTCCTAAAATACACTAAGGAGGTTCGAAAATTTGAGCTATGGAAGCTCAATATATTTGGCCCTCTTGATTTATTTTTGGGGGAATTATTTTGGTAATTTGTATTTTTAATTATCTTCCTCAAAAATTATTATATTCCTTAATTTTTATTTCCCATCTCCTAAATATTTGATCATATTATTTCCCTACCTTATTTCATCCTTGATTATTCCCCAAGTAAACCTCCTTTGCCATATTTTTTTCATGACAACATACTTTCCTTAATTTTATTATTCTTAATCACCTTAATCTCAAACTTTCCATATTTCTTTAACACTCTTCTCCAAGTAATTTCTTTAATTCTTTTTACCATAATTCTTCCTACATTCTCTTACTATAATTCATGCATGAGCTAGCCTATAAATACCCATTGATTCATGGTTAAACACTCACACCAAATTCTCTAATTCTCTCTTAATCTCTCTCTTTAATTTTCTCTTCTCCTTTTCTTTTCTTTTCTTTCTTGCGCCACCACCACCAATCACCAGAACCACCACCTCCACGCCGGCTACCACCCTCCTTGACGCCAGCTGCCACCTCTAGCCACCTGCCGGAGGGCTGCCCCACCTTGCCGCCACCTTCTTCTCTCTCTCTTCCTTTGTTTTCTACCTCTTCTTCTTTTTCTCTTCTCTTAATTAATTAATTATTATTATTATGGGGGATTTATAAAAGTTATTATGAGTATTTTTAATTAAATAAAATCAGATTTTTATTCATGTATATGAAAAATAATTTAAAAGGTTAATGTATATATAGTTGGGGGTTTTTTAATTTAATTGTTGTGATTATTTGTTAACCTTATATTAATTAAGGTTATATTTATTTGTAGGTCGTGTTTGATCCAAGTGTTTAAAGTTTCTTTGTGTTTGCTAAGCGAGGACCAAAGGTATGTTAGGTGGCTAGATACTTTTGAAATTGATTGGGTTGAATAAGCATGTTTTGCATGATTTTTATGATGATTGAATTAAATTATGAATTATGAAATAAAAGCATGTTTAAATGATTGTTTTTGATAATTAAATTGAAGGATTGATTTTATATCAAGTTTTGAGTGGTTTGAATTACTAATCATGCTTGAATAAAGAAATTGATTTGAAAAGTTTGATGAATTAAATAAAAGGTTTTTCAAAGGAAGAGTTATTGATTTTGAAAAGTTATTGATATGAGATTTAATTCTCAAGTATTTATTAAAAGATTGATTTTAAAAGCATGTTGAATTTAATTAAGAAGAAGTTGAGTTATTTATTGGAATTATTGAGTTAAAGAGGTTTATTGAATTATTTAAAAAGCTTTACAAGCATAATTATTATATTAATCCCACTATACGTATTCATTGAAAGCTATAGACTTTGTATGATCTAGTCTTTCTCCAAGAATATCCTTGAAATAGTAGGAGACTAGCTTGGGGGTGTGCACACTTAGAGAGGAGATTGAGTTTTCGAAAATAATTAATTTGACTAATCATTATTATTGAGTTATTGGAATTATTTTGAGAATATTGAGCATTGATTTTCAAAAGAGGAATTGGTTTTCAAAAGAGGAATTGGTTTTATAAATCGTTTCATCGAATTATTGAATTATTGAGAATTGGTTTGATCATGAGTTTTGGAATTCATTGAATTGATTATTGGAATTGGTTTTGAAATTTTGAGTTTGGAATTATTGGATTAACATTGGAATTGGTTTTAAAAGCATGTTTGCAAATAAATTGAATTTACTTATCTTGCACTTATCGTACTTAGCATATTTTGCTAACCCATATTTCTTACTTGTTTTGGTTCGCCCTGTCTACCATAATGGTAAGCAGTGTTGACTAATTTCAGGTGGAGTCAAGAATTGAGCATATGGGAATCCCGGGAATGTTCTTCACCTAGATTAGGAATGTTGGTCTTTGTTTTTATTATGAGTACTCATGACGATGATTTCTATTTATAGTTATTATTAAAAAAGAAAGAGTTTAAGTTTCCGCTGCAAAGTATTGGTTTTGGTTAGTAATTTTGAGTAGCCTTGCGTAATCACGTGGTGGTAATTTGCCTAAGTCTATCTCTACAGTATAATCATACTAGTATTTCCGTAGAGGGAGATTTGGGGGTGTTACATTTCATGTAATTGAACAAAAAACTATTGCTC